TGCAATCGTGTTTATTGCCTTCATGTTTCATCATTCAAAACATCTTTATCACTATTTTATTCAGCTACAGATAGTCTCAGCCTCAGACGTCACGCCCACGGCTGACCGTCTGATGCATATGGCACACAAAATTGGAAACACTTCAGGAGTTTCAAAGTCATCATCTGATTGATTGAATTCTACAGAACTTCTGGGAGACATGTGTGTAGCGCTTTTTAACATTTGCCTGGAAACAATAATGCCATGAAGCCAAACACCCTCATGGAAGAATAAAGCTGTCATGTTTACAACTGTGATGACGAGCGCTTATCAGGATCAACTAAACGCTGGATTTTCAAAAGTATGTGAAATATGTAAAGTTCACAGAATAGACTTTTTAAAATACGTCCAAGAGTTTCATCCTTTCATCAAATACTATTAATCCTAAATAGTATTTGAAATTAGAATTAGTTTGTCCCAAATCGTAGCATGTTGAAATAAGTAACTCAAAGGAACCCAGATGGTTTACTATTTCCGGTACAAATTCGATGCACACTCTAATGGCTAATATTGCCCACACCCACATTGCATGTTGGATGAGGATTTTTTTAGAACTACAAACATGCATAATAAGTGATTAAAAACTAAAAACATGGTGGATATGTGAGACTGATGGACAAGTAGAGAATGGGGTGTGAGTGATTAATAATCAATATCTAACCTGATAAAAAAATTATTTAATGTTATCCGCATTATATTTCATGCATATGCAGCAACATTGTGAACTTTAAAAAAAGATAAGTTTGGTCATTAACTTTTAAATGCATCATTATGCGAACACATGAGCAGAGTTCTCTGCATGATAGACCCATGGCTGGCAGAGCAACGTGCCTCTACCTGCCTCTAGGATCTTTAGGATGATGTTAACTGTGACAAGAGGAGTGACATGGCAGTTTAAATGGTGACAGGATGCTCATAAAATCATCCGTTAAAGACGTAATTATGACAAAGTAGTATGTCCCAAAGCTTGCATACTATTCTGCTACACACTCAAAAATATGTACTTTTATTCACAAAAAGAGTACATACTTTTAGGGCATAAGTAGGCAAATTGGAACACAGCATATGACTTCTATGAATCTCACTGTTAGACTTTCTGTGCAACGGCACCCTCTGGCTTCCAGGATGAATGAAACAGACCTTACATGACAGTGTTTAACGTGTCATAATGCCCCATTTTTAGTAAAAATAGAACAAATAATAGGCCTACTCCTCTCTTTTAAGTAAATGTTTTCTCTGACTGAGCACACTTTTGGACAACAACCGCTGTTTATTAAAGTACTCTGATGCAAAGAGCACAAGAGTTTTTTCTCAGTGAATGCATAAGAAGCTCATATTTCATATTAAATGCATGGACTCAGTTTTTGATTTTGCATTTTGGTACTGTGTGTATGGATGACTGTGTTCGTCAGCCACCACCAAAGACCATTTTTGACCCTGGAAAAACCCTGAACACAGTCCGCTTTTGTCCCAGCTATTTCTTTGTTGTTGTTTGGTGTGTCACGACTCTTTTAAGCAAACAGAAAAGTCCTAACAATTGCTCAAAGAAAAGACTTGCCGAATGATTTTTGACAAGTGTTGTACAGTCATTGTATCGACAAAAACAAAAAACTTTTTTCCCCCAAAATATCTTCTTTTGTGTTCCTCTGAAGAAAAAAGGTTTCCATTTAAAACCATCCCTGTAATGCTTCACTCCTCAAAGTTCAATGCATCGGGAAACATAGTCATCAATCATCTGAAAAGGCCTTTATTGCTCTACAGGGATATGACCCTCAATTTTACGAGAAAAAATGTCTTAAACACATCACTTTCTTTTACTCTAGGGAATTACACAGCTGCTAGGGCGTGATGGAATGCAGCCAGACAGAAGTATGGGTGTGGTTTAGTCATCTCATTTGCATACAGTTTCGCCAGACCCAATAGGATTTTATTCAGTGCACTGCACAGCAAATGGAACCTTTAGGAAAAAACTAAACACATCTGATGTATTAATCAATACTACCTGCTCCTGCAGTTCAACTGGACACAGCACAAAGCCGAGCATGTAGAAGAACAAAAAGCACAAAAAGGCACTCCAATACTATAAGTGAAGGATGCAGTCAAGGGTGACAGACACGCAACATTTATCGCATGCCCTTTGAGTATCTATATAGAGCAACAGCAAGCTCATCACTCTATGCTAATGAGACACTGAATGTCACCTTGTGGTACACAAATACACCTCTACCAAACACAAGCAAAAGCCCATAACATGAGGTCATGGGCCAAATCTAACTGTCTCAATAAACACCAGAACCAAAGACACAACTTTAAGAGTGAAGGACTGGATTGAAAGCACAATAGAGATGAAGAATAAGAGTGAAAGGGAGTGTTTAGAGGGGAATGACAGCAACATTTCTGTCATTTCGGTCTCTCTCTTCATCCCTTTGTAGACAACATGTTTTATTTGAAAGCTGGAGTGCAGGGCTGTGCAGGTAAACGGATACATTGCCGTGGTTACCGTAGCTTTGTTAATGATGGGATGATTTCACCTGCACATTTCAAGATAAGAAAATGTCAAAAATCTCCAAAGACACAATGACATGCATAGAAAAGCTCTCTTTCCCCTTGCTACCCGCTCTCGCTTTGTCTGTTCTCACTCTCACACACTCCATATTACTGATGACTATTACAGAAAACAGCCGACATATCAAACTCTGACCTAATAACACAGCAATGTCGAATGGTTTGACAGACTGCCTGTTTAGAGATATTGCAGTTCAAATCTGTGTTTACCTACTCTCTCTTTCTCATTGTGTTTTTTTCTGTTTCCATTGACAGCTTTTTCTGTGCTGTGGTAAGCAATGAAATGCTGAAATCTTAAAAATTGCATTTTAAAACCCCATCGGTCCTTAAGACATCACAGTGGAAAAGAACTCTGGCATTCTGAGGTCAGATCATGCAAATTATGAAGAGAACAAAAGAATATTTTAAAACAACCCTGGTAATTTCACTATCCTGTTTTTCTTTCTTTTGGGGAAGTCGTGGCCTAATGGTTAGAGAGTCGGACTCGTAACCCAAAGGTTGTGGGTTTGAGTCTTGTACCGGCAGGGATTGTAGGTGGGGGGAGTGAATGTACAGTGCTCTCTCCCACCTTCAATACCACGACTGAGGTGCCCTTGAGCAAGGCACCCCCAACTGCTCCCCGGGTGCTGCAGCATAAATGGCTGCCCACTGCTCCGGGTGTGTGTTCACTGCTGTGTGTGTGTGTTCACTGCTGTGTGTGTGCACTTTGGATGGGTTAAATGCAGAGCACTAATTCCAAGTATGGGTCGCACACGTCACTTCACTTGTTACTTGTCTATTTTAGTTTCTTAAATTGTTCTTTGCTTATCCAATTTTCTCCCACATCTCATTTTGTGATTTTTTTTAAATACATACTAGTACTCGATTTTTTTCTTGCAGAGTAGGAACACGTTTTCAGAAGTTTTGCGTGCCTGTGTTTTGTCTCTAACACTTCACAATATAAAGACATCACAGCTATTTGAAACTGGAAAGCACTGCCAGATAATAATGAAAAAATGCAAATGAAGATCCATAATTTGAAACCATATGGTACTTCATATTAATGAATGAGGGACTCCAATAAAATGCTTTTTCTGAGTGGAATTAACTGGAATTGCGTTGCATTTTCTCTCACACTCACTCACTCCAACACAGCCAGCACATAAGTGATAGATGCTGGTGGTAAATCTGAGCTATTGCGGTTTCAGACATGCAATTCCCAACCGGCACTCATTCTCAGGTACACACATATGTGTGTGTAAATTATTGATTCATGCCAAAGGATTTTGGTTTATCTCTGAATTTTAAAATTAAGTATCCAAACGTACATTTGTCATCTTCACAAGCATACCGCCACTCTCTGGCTCACATTCACATGGTCTTCAAACGTCCGTTAAAGTATCGCTGTCAGACAGCCTTGAGTGCACAGTGTTATTCTCAGGCTCTGACCGTCTTTGATATCTGTGTGTTATGTAACGTCAAACCCTCTCGTGTCCATGAAACATATTGTTTCAGGTTTCGCTTTGTGAAAATGAGCATAAAATTGAATGAATGAACAAACTAAACAAGGAATGAATTAATGAGAAATGAATGACAAACATATGAATGAATAAACAAATGTGGAAAAATAATTTCCACATTTTCATGCATAAGATGTTCAGTGTCTTAAAAGCAGTAAGCTTGTTTTACTTGGCAAAATGAATCATTAGGCACATGTAAAAGACTAATTAGCAGGTTAATCTAGGCTATTTCTATAACTGACATTTAAAACTAAAAGATAAAAATAATTAAATAACAGACAATGTATTTGTATAAGTTTAAGAAACGATTTTAAAGATAAATTATGTTAAATAGAATCATATTTAAAGACACTGAAATGATTTCAATAATCAAATGCTGAGCCTCAAATGCTGTATGTTTGCAGAACAGATGATGGACATCCATCTCAAAATGATTTTAGACAAATTCCCATCTTTTTGTATAAGATTTGTATTGTCATTCATGCTCAGGCCATATTGTGCACGTGAATGGTTGGTAACCGTGTGAATGAAGCACTAGGCTTATTCTTGAATTTTTTCCGTGTGGCACGAGAACACACACGACAGCTGATGACAGTATTAATGACCCTCCTCTGAAACTGCAAATGAGTCATACGAGTATTATCCTAATAACTCCTTGTCATGAGCCAGTGAATGATTATCATCCGCTCTTAAGGGCCGTTCACAAACGACGCGTTCTTGCGTTCTTTTTTCTTAATCGTTTTGCATTGTAGTGTAACTTTGGAATGCGTTTGCTCCATTCCGTTGCCTCGCGTTCAGCTGTTTTGAATGCAAGAACGGGTCATGTGCGAACATCCCCTCATCTCTCCGTTAATGAATGTGGACTGAACGCGCGCGCTCACTCACTCACTCACTCACCCGCGTTTCTCAGTTTTCTATTTCTGAGCACCGAGATGATCACCAGCACGTTACCGAGCACATCCACCACGCTCGTGAAGATCAGCACACCGGCCAGCACCATGACGACCCATACTGGCCGTGCACCTGCTCCGCTACCCCAAGCGCGACCCTGCGTGACTTCCGTCCGGTTCCTGATGAGGGAGACATTCTCGGGCATCTCGGGAAAAATCTTCACCCTCTCTCACAAAAACACGCTCGGTATCTTTCTCACGAAGCTTCTGCCATCTTCACCTTCAACAATTAAACATTTCCACATTCTCAACAAGCCTTGGGAAGCTCGGTGACGCGTTTTCTTTTCTCATGCATGTGCCACGTGAAACATAAATTTTCCACCCGGTTCTTCTTCTCGCGATTGACGAATATGTTCAACTTCACAGTGCTCTTTCTCTCTCCTCGCCTCGCGCGCTCTTTTAAAACTCACACACGGTGAGAGCGCGGCGACGCACCTCGAGCTTCTCCGAGCATCTCGCCCCAGTCGCGTGCGCTCCGGTATTTCCCATTGATGACTGAGGGATCACGCTCACGCTGGTGTGGGTTCATCCCTCTTCCTCCACCTCAACCAATTCTTCCTCCTCTTGCCGTTCAGTTTTATTTACAGTGACGCTTGAGCTGAGGTAAACCGAGACGCTTCCAAAAGGCTGTCACACGTGGGACGCGCCAGCTCGCCGGTATGTCCAGTCAGTCAGACTTTATTTATTTATTAATTCACTCGGTGGCGACGGAATCCGATGCGTGAGATCGGATGATGTGCTCCCGTTTCGGTTCAATTCCCGCCTTTTAGGAGTGTCAAACCTTTAAGTCCAATACACCGGTGTGTGTCGTTAAAAACGCTTCTTTTTGTTTACTACGACGGTCTTCGCGTTTGAGGGGCAAGACTGTCGTTAAATGAACGAATCCAACTCAGAATTTCTGAGCGGTAGTTCCGTGTTTTCCCGCCTCAAAGCGAGTCCCTCAGCGACTCCGCTCCCGCCGGCTGCACGCGAGCGGAGTTTCCGGTCCAGTTCTCGGACAAGTCCAGTTAAACGACAGCTGGAGAGACGTCGCCCTCGACCCGCTCCGCACCGCCGGTCTCTCGCGCTCTCCTCATTAAGGACCAAAAAATCGTTGAGCGCGCGCCACCGTTGTTTACAGCTGCCCCGTTCACACGCTCTGGGAGCCTCCGCGTGCGTCTGAACTTGTACTGAGAGCGCGCAGGTGCACGTGCCACAAATAACGGGTTTGAAATAAAAGGCCTTGCAGCGTTTTCTCACTGATTACCGAGCGATAGGAAAGCTACTTTAAAGACAGCTTCCACAACCATCACCAAACACCATGCATTTCTTAGATATGAAATTTAATAGAAAATCAATTCTATCAAATAAAACAACCTGTAGTAAAATGAATACATAGCAAATAAAAATGTCTCGTTAATATATCTTTTAAATAATTAAAAACCATTGTAAGAAGCAGTGAACTCAAAATGTGAAGATGACAAATTTCATCAAAAATAACGTCATTTATGACCTATAGCCTAATTGCTGGATGGGTCCAACTTGATTAAAACATATAAATACCTGTATGCAATGCAATGAGAGGAAATTAAAATACAACAATATTTACAGTCTAACTAAACTTAAGCTAAAGCCCTGCCCCCAGTGCTTTAGACATCACAATAACTTGCAGCTTTTTCTAGCCATAACTCATTCACTTAGACATGATGACGAATCTGAGTGACATACAATGTGATCAGTCACAGTTATAGGGGTTTATTTAAAACAATTAATATGTTAATAATAGACTTGTGTGGGGACAAATAAATAATAGCCTATAGCAATCTCAGATTGAACAAAAACACAGGCAGAAAATGTCCAGAGAATAAGTACAGTACAGAAAATACAGTAAGTTGATTACATAATTCAGAAAATAAAGCAGAATTTTCAGTTCTGCTCAGTTCTTATTTCTTCCTCAAAAACACTTATGTATCTTACATGATACCTTGTAGACTTTGCTTCAGGATGGACTTGTGCTTGTTCTCGCAGAAGTCAGCCAATCAGATTAGAGTTTACTAGGTCGAGAGAAAAAAAACATCCAGTTTTGTTTGCGATATGCATTAGACGGTGGTGAAGGTGGATGGTGAAGGACTGTAGGTGGTCCGTGGGCATACCGCCTGAAGCTGAGACCAGCTCAGCATTGTTTAGAACTGAGACTACAAATACTTTTAAACAGCAATGGATATAATATTCATGAAGAAACTTAATCAAAAGCTTATCCCACACTGGCAAGCACTTCACGGCTCACTTCTCCAAACTGTGTGTCCCACCCTGAGAGTCCAAAGACCTTGCTTAGAGCTGGAGTCAGGCCTGTGTAAAATCAGCTATGGTTCTTGAAGAGTTCATAACCACTTGCCAGTGAAGGCTAGTTAAAAATCCCATTTTCAAAAACTACAATGTTTACTTACTTCCTATGGTTTCAAATGATTTTTTAAGAGGAAATGCATCCTTTTCAGTGTTCAAATGAAACCTACGCCACTGGATTTGATTAACCTGACCTTTTCCTGGCTTCTAGCACTTAAAGATACATTTTCTTTTTCATTGAGCTTGTCCTATTTCTATGGTGCAAACGGATAGCAGCTGAAATGAGAGAGGGCGGAGAAGTATAGCACAGGGAGCTACCCCAAAGAAACGTTACCCGCTAGGTCTCAATTCATTTAAGGGCACAACCGTTGCGGAGAGTGCATGTCTGACAGCAGTGTGACAGGGCGGGGTCCCAAGCCACCCCTGAGGATGCTATCACCTGATTCGGGTGCCTATATCTCCTATGCCACAGCCAGACACACACACACACACACACACACACACACAGAGTCAAGGAAGATTATCCAAGCTTAACACAGCCCCACTTTCACCTTGTGAATTTCCTTGCAGCTTGGGGAAAAGGGTTCCAGCATATCATTAACTATTACTCCATTAAACCATATCATGGATACACTGAATTAAATTTACCCCTGTGAGGTTTGAATTAATCTGTCCACAGCAATAGAAATAGGCCTACATAAAACCTTTGCACTCAGGATGAAAAAGCGATGTATATGGATTGTCATAATTACAAATTGGACATGCATACATGTGCATATATGTATAATATATGTATCTTGTGTTTAAAATTCAAAGACAAATAAAAGATAGATAGATAGATCCATTTTTATGTCAACAGTAGCCTACCTTATAATTTATCACTGTGGAACAAATATGCAAAACTCCAAAATGAAGCTTCGTCTGCACTTGTGCAGTTTTTTTTTTAAATTTCAGAATGAGAACACCAACAACTGAGCAGTATTTACATACAGGTACACGTTGCACATCTATTTTTTTCCCTGTTTACAAATACAGATACGGCACAGAAATGTAGTGATGTTTGCTGGCGCGCGTGCGCCTTTATCTCCGCGAGCCAGCAATGCCATCCAGCGCGCGCGCTAAATCAGCCTGTTTTTTTTTTTTTTTGGCTCCAACACATCCACACGGTTCAACAACAACAACAACAACAGATAACAGCCATGCCTACTCAAATCAGTCCAATGCGAGGTGTTTGAATGATTATTTCTTTTACACCCACGACACCACCGCTGGGTATAAAAGAGGCGTTTAGCGCGTGGAAACCTGGCTGGCTGCGACTTTTCGTCGGTCGGGTGTGTGCGTGGGTATACGGACTGATTGTTTGAGCGCGCTCGGCTCGTTAGGAGAATCGGGTTATGTAAGCGGGCGTCTGGTTTCTCTGGGACAGAGAAAGAGAGAGAGAGGCCTTTCTTTCTTTGATGTCAAACTGCAGGAATCCCTCCCGAGACCGGCGGTACTTGTCACTGTCTGTGTGTTTTAGTTTAATTCGTAAGGCATGTGAAAGTATTCTCATGTGTGTCTGTGCAAGAGTGGTGTATGTGGGTGAGTTTTAAGGGTTTGTGCAGTTCTGAGTCTGGTTAATGAGTAAAATTGGTTTCACCCTGTCTACACTTCCTCACATTGGAAGAGCAACGTACAGCGGCTTCAAAAGTAACACAAAAAGCGTATTATCGCAAAGCTCTGTAGCCTATAGAAGGTTTCAATGGCAATAACATAAACAAACGTTACTGCGCATGCGCGCTTTTGTGGCCCTAACTTAACATCAGGTAGACTTCCAAATAGAATCAATAACAGCAGCAAAGTAGTCATTCTAGAGTACATTATTTTTGATAAGCAAAATATGTTTGCTGCTTAAATCAGACGGACTTGCTGAAAATGCAAATTCATTCTCTGCCAGCAGGAGGTGCTTTAAAGCCCCGGTAACAGCTGTACACAAAGCAGCGCTGAGCTCACAAATGCTGCTTTATCAGGCATATAACATGCAAGATGAAATGAAAATTACATCGAAAATTTTATAAAGATAGTCTTCCTTCAGAAATACAGTGATATAAAAACACCCGCGCCTCGTTTAGATTTTTAAAGTGCAGTACGTGCTCATGTTTATTCAACGAAGCCTTTTGGAAAACTGGTCAGTTTTGATATTGTGGCGAGCGCCACAAATAAATAAATGTATGGGAAACACATCCCACAGCACAACCACCTGAACCCAACTTCGGTCTACTCATCACCTTAACTTTAACTGCGTTTGTAGCCGGCTCCATAGCCAGACTGATAAACAAACACAGACCGGAAGTTAACTTCGGGCCAGGTGCGTGCGCCCGATGAAACCGACTATATAAAGTAGGATATATCCAACTTTATCCGCATACATACAGTATGCTAAAGCTACAGCCTCAACAGTCTCAACAGTCTGATTTTTTTTGTCACAAAATATAACTAATATTATAGCACAGCTTGTTATATAAAGTTGGACACAGGTATATCCAACTATATCCACATTCATACTGGCGCAGAGCGAATACCCTACTATTTAGTATATCTCAACTGTTTCGTAGAGAGTAGCGTTGCACAATGCGAGTTTTCAGCGCTGCGCTCGTTGTCTTCTGTCTTCCCTTTGTAATTCCACAGTATGAAGGTAACATCGTACGAATTTACATCCACTTTGATCATTACAATGTGCATGAAAACGTTCGTTAACTCTACAATAAGTAAATCCACTTCACCAGCTAATTACTCCTCAGCAGCGAGCTACGCCAAAAACGGAAGTTCAAAGACAAAATTCTAAAGATGGCTGCTCACTCGTTTCTCTGATGTCTATTCCTATATTATATAATATTAACATCATGTTTTCTGTAAAGCTGCTTAGAAATAGTGTATTCTGGAAAGCGCTATATGCATATGTGACCTGACATTTAAAAACATCCGAATTTCATTAAAATATCAGTTCATGTGGACATGGTATTTATTGTGAAGAAATCTACATATATCAGATCCAATTTTATATGACACGTGCCTTAAATGCTCAAGCTCTTTAAAACAAGATGGATTCTGATTGACTGTCAATGTTTTATCCTTGTGAAACTGAATCCAATGATATCGTTCTTGTGTCGTTATTATAGTTGGTGTGGACTTGCTATAGATCTTAATCAGAGTTGTTTATGTAGTTAATAAAACCTTACTTGTATCACACTTGACGTGTTCATTGTTTGCTTATAACCGGAGTCACTTATTATGCAAGATTTACGCTACAAGCTTTTTGTAGGATTGTACAGTAAGAAGTTATTTCCCTTAACCAGGAAATTAACGTTCTTAGAATTGACAGACAGTTGACCCTGAGAGGTCAAGTAAATATCTACAGCGGATCTAAAATATGAATAATTAATTATAACTAGTTATGGTTAATTATTCATATTTCCTCATGAGCTGGTTCGTTACAGCGTCATATTTAATGTTTGACAGTAATGAAAACAAGGCAGTGAGGGATAAAAGTACAGTGCATCCAGTAATTTATATGATGGTTTATTAAATAACATGCCGATTGTTCAACGAATGAAACATCTTTCTGAAAAAACTTTCAGTTGACAGAAACAAAATTACGTGATGTGGCACGTTTATATAGTGCGTGGCATTGTAAAAACTGCAAGTCTACTCATCACAGCCTCGATAAGCGTTAAATTCAATATGGCATCTAAGAAGC